AGGTTTATCTGTGTCATTTCATTTGATAATGCACCAGAAACTGATTTATTAGCTAATGCTGGTATAGCCCCTGTATCGTCCGAACTAGGTGACTATGGTCTAGCGTTGACTGAAGACGATAACATACAAGCATCAGAGTTGTACTGTTTACCGGTCATATTGAAGAGGTCAATCACGTCAACGTTAACTGCTCAGTAAGCAAGTTTTCTGAAATATCAATAATAATGACTGGGCATTTACCTCGGCATCTCTATAATTTTTTAAACACCTGTGCCGTGGCCGTACTTTCCTGCTATGTTGGAATTTGTGACGGAACTTTAGAATGTTGGATGTCTCAGGAAGCATGGAAATGACCCTGATAATTGTCCATTTAAACTTAATAAAAATGTTTCAACATGAAAAATGCATGCCTTAAATTTTTCAACATGAAAAATGCATGCCTTAAATTTTTCAACAAGAAAAATGCTTCATTGTGAAACATATTGTCATATTGAGTCGCATTTATTTCAACCAATTTCCCGTTACGATGCTTCAAAATATGTCTTTCACAAATGAATAAATTGCTATTATATGCAATGTGACAATTACGCAACCATGACTTTCAAACACTTTAAAAAACATTACCTTTACTGTATGCATCATATATACATTTTTGCCATTTCATGTAGAAGCACGATGTTTTGTGCACTGTACTTTGATCCCCCCTCTAAATGTAGAAATGTTGTTTCTCACGCAAGTTTTTTAATTCTAATGTTATTCTTCTCAGCATTCAATACTCAGCCTAAGCTCTATTTGCAACTATTCAGTGACTGACATTCTGTAATATCATTTTTGTCAGGATTAACCTGGTAAACCGCAGCATATTAGATTACTTCATGGTCGATCTCAACATTGATAGACACTTTGAATCACTCAGACACTTTCTGTTTCTGGAGGACGGAGAGTTTGGACATAGATTGTGTCATCAGTTGTTTGAACGGGTAAGTTTAGTCCTGTATATTGTTATTCTGACAGTCTTTCAATCCATTCTGTGGAGAAAACTTGCATTGACGACAATAATGCACCAAATGTGTTACTATGGTAACATGTCTGCTGACAACCACAATTTGCAGTCTCTTTATAAAGTATTCACCAATCAATTTATTAAGTTGAAGCATCAAAGTTTCACCAAAATTCCACCAATCACATTTGTCATCATATATCTACTGAACAGAATTATAGCTCCACAGATCCAATTATTATTAAATATTGAATTTATTTCAGCTTGCCCAAGGAGCTACTCCGGTAGAATTGTTGTCACCGATGTCTCTGAATTCCATCTTGGCTAAAGCTCTGCAAGCAGCTGTCTATGGAGAGACCAAATTCGCTGAAAACCTCAGCTTTGCACTCAAGTATTACCCTTTAGCGTTTAAAAGAAATTGTAAGTACCATATACATATATTGTTCTCTGTTGTCATCTGCTGATCTGTTCTCTATTAACTCATATGTAACAGTTTTCTCACCTGGTTAATGCCTGATACATGATGGTTAATTTACTTAATATGACTATCCATTATGTTAGAGTAGAGATAATTAATGTGTCAATAGCTTTTATTAGTCCCCGTTCGGATGAAGTCCGTGTGTTCGTGTGCCCGTCCGGAACCATTTCTCAGACACCCTTTAACCGATCTCGCTCAAACTTGGTATACAGACAATGACTTACATATGCACGCCAATTTTTGTTATGATTCGATTAAATATTTTGTCCCTCAAGTTTGCTAAATTCTGATATTTAAACGCGTCTAGAACTGTTTCTCGGAGCTGAACAGGCCGATTTCAATCAAACTTTGTATGGGGATCATGCATATTCGGTTATAGGTGCACGTCACGTTTTTTTTCGAGATTCGGTCCAAGATGGCTGACTGGCGGCAATTTTGTTTTTTCCGTTTTTGTGTTGGTTCCCCCATAAGATATAGCCTGATTCAGTTCAAAGTTTGGACATAGGTACTACACTTCAAGATAACACAGCACCATGTTTTGTATTGAGATTTGATCAAATTTGTCGAAATGGTGGCCATTTTGTCAAAATAACGTAAAATATCATTCTGTAACTTGTCCGAAACTGTTTCTTGGAGCTGAACGGGGCGATATGGCCTGATTCAGTTCAAAGTTGAATAGGGCATTTTCTATCAAACTTTGTATGATGACTTTACATATTAGGTTATGGTGCAAGCCATATTTCTTTTGGAGATACAATACCTGACTGGCTGCGTTTGTTTTTCATGCTATTTCCTCTGTAAGATATAGTCTAATTCAGTTCAAAGTTCCCACGTAGATACTATACTGACAGTAACACAATCTATAATCTGTGTTAGTGTTAAAAAAACATTGATCTTTCATTTCTACATGTACTGAACATTTACATCGACTACAGTTACTTAACTGGGACTATGCATTATCAATGCTTGTTATTTTCTGAGGCAAGGAATGATAAAACCACCTTGATTAATAGGCCTGGGGAGTGCACTGCAGTAATGGTTGCTTCATTTGTCATTTTCTTGACAAAAATGTTAAACTATTTAAATGTTTTTCTCTTCCCAGCTATTGATGCATTAGATTGTTTAGAGCTTCGATATAAAGTAAGTGAACCTTATGTGATAATGACCCCTAGAGGTCGCTGTTTTGATATCTATTAATGACCTCCAGAGGTGTTGTTATGATATCTATTTGTGACCTCTAGAGGGTGCTGTTATGATATCTATTTGTGATCTTTAGAGGGTGTTGTTATGATATCTATTTGTGACCTCTAGAGGGTGTTGTTATGATATCTATTTGTGACCTCTAGAGGGTGTTGTTATGATATCTATTTGTGACCTCTAGAGGGTGCTGTTATGATATCTATTTGTGATCTTTAGAGGGTGTTGTTATGATATCTATTTGTGATCTTTAGAGGGTGTTGTTATGATATCTATTTGTGACCTCTAGAGGGTGCTGTTATGATATCTATTTG